TTACTGTCGAAATATTAACTTCTTCAAAATGAGGTTTAAAAAAAGTGTACCATTTATGTGCCGAATAAATTATACGCTGCTTTATAGCCGAAGATAAAAGTTATATAATTTTGATTAGCCAAATTATATACTTTTTTGATGAATGATTGACAAGTGGCATTATGCCGAATAAATCCATTTCGACTAGTGTGTGTAAACAAGCAGGGCAGCAGACTATACCTGGATAGTTTAGGCTTGTGAGTAGGTTCTAATTAATATAAAATTAATATAGTATAAAATTTAGACATATCACATATATAATAAACTATCTATGTTAATAAAATTAGAGCGTTGTCTCGCTTTAGCAGTTTAAAAAAAGAAAAAAAAACTACACTATAATAAAAAAACTATTTCTTAAATTAAAATTTTTTTAATTAAAAACATGTGACAAATATTTCCAAAAGAAATAAAATCTAATTAACTTTATTTTATTTAGTACTTATTATATAGAAGACATATGAAATCACAAAAAAAAAAGTAATGAGACTTGTCTAAAAAAAACAAATAACAAAAAAATTATTATTAAAAAACTTAATAAAACAAAATTATATTTTCAAGTAAAAAAACCAAAAGCTTATTTGATATTATATAAAAATAACTTTAGAAAAATAAGACTTGCTAAGAAAAATATTAATAATAAATTGTAATCTATCATATTAAACTTATAGTAATTTCAATATTAACTTAATATTAAAATGATATTTTTAACAAATTATTATTATTATTATTATTGCTTTTAATCAGACTGCAAATGAAAGCATTTATTAATTCAATTTTGAAGAACAATAATACAATATATATGATACTATACTAAAGCTAAACTAGCACAATTTTGTAAAATACTCATTAGTGAGTTTAGTTTGTATATAATCCTTAAATTCTTAACTATACATGTGGCATAAATGATTTTGCTATTGACTCAATTTTCAAAATTCTCAAAAATAATTGTGTCATGACTCAATTATTTATATGTTTTAATAGAGACTCAATTAATTGCATCAAATAATTGCATCAATTGCATTAAAAATCTTTCATTCGGTTGAAGCATGATGATCGCCAGAAGTTGTCCTATGATGGTAAGACTTAACTACCGAAGTAAGAAGACCTTGAAGCTAGTGCAACGAAGCTGGGACCACCTGCATTCATGGTTTGGCTACCATGCGGCGAGACAAAGTATATAGGAGTTGCACCCTGCTTGATATTTATATCCCTAGATTTGGCAGCTTACGCCAACCGGCCTGTCTGGAGTGTTTACTAAGAGTTTAAGGGAAGAACCTTTAAGGAGTCGCGCCCCACTAGGTCAAAATGACCCCTAGATTTGGCAGTCAGCGCCAACCAGCAGTAAAACCGGAGCATTCACTAGGGAGTGTTACTTGCGTCGAAGGTTCCAGTAATTAAATGCAGCGTATGCACGGTGGAGGCATGACGTGATAGGTACTTACTTAGGCAGTTATAGAACTATCACATAGCGATAAAAGCCAAGGTATGGACCCACCTACAAGGTGTTAGTTAGTATTCTGGTAAAAAGGATGGGTTGCGTGGGTTAATATTAGCAATAGCTAGTAGACCGTTCATGTATAGGTAATTGTGATCGTAATTGAAATATCAATAAATCCATGCGTGTCCGCAACTTAGCCTTAAAAAAAAAAAAAAAAAAAACTAATATATTTATATCAATATCATTTTACTTGCTAAACAAAATACTTTTCAAAAATATACTTAAATAAAATTATAAAGTCTAATATTTGTTTTAATATAATCTTTACTTAAATTTTACTTTGGTAATATTTATTGTACCATTTAAAAAAATTTATAATCTTTTTCAATCACAAAAATTAAAATTAGTTTATTTCTTTCAATTAATTAATGCCTGGTAACTATTCAATTAATATTTGTTATATTATTTTAATAAAATAAAAAAAACCAATTTAAACTGATTTGTTAATCCAATAATAATAACAATTACAATAATAAAATTTATTATTACAACAATAATAACAATAACAATAAATAACATTACATATACTCTATTATTTATAGTAATCAAAAAGCTAAAGAAATAAGATGACAAGTCTATTTAAAGTTCTTTTAGAAAAATAATTGGTTTTTTAATTATAGATTTTATAATTTATTTAACTTGGTTTTAGTTTTAATTATATTTATTTTATTTTATTATTTTTAATTATTTTATATTCTAAAATTATTAAAAGATTTTACAAAATTTATCAAGTAGGTAGATATAACTACTACTCTTTTATCTAATATTTTAATATTGCTTTTAAAATTTTTTTTAATATTAATTAGATATTGTAAAATAGGCAAGCTAGTATTTAACTTGTTACATTTTATGTATAAGAAATATTGTTTTTTTCATAATGTATATCTTAATATATATAAATTAAATAAAGAAACAATATTTACTTACTGAAGAAAATTTTTTCAAAAAAACAGCTTAATATTATCTTTGATATATATTAATTTTGTTACTTTTTTTACATATAAAATTTTTGTTTTGGTTTTAATCATATTTATTTTTTTTTTTCAAATTTTCTATATATTTTAAACTTTTTTTTTTAAATAGATAGGTATAGCTATTACTTGGCCTATATTTAATATTAATATTGTTTTAAAATTTCTTTTCAGTATTAATTATTTATAGTATCAGTAGGCAAGCTAGCATTTAACTTGTTGTATACCTTGTACTTAAGAAATATTGATTCTTTTTAAATGTATATCTTAAAATATATAAATAAATAAAGAATTGGTGTTTACTTATGGAAAAAAAAAAGGTATACTATAAGTTTAAAGTCTTTTAATATTGAACTTAAATAATATTTTAAAAAATGTATAGTGCAATATAAATAATGTTTTTTTAAAAAATATTAATAAAAAAACCTACAAAAAATTACTTTGACCTATTAAAAAAAAATTTCCAAAAAATTTTACAACACATACTATATGTATATTTAAATGCACAACATGATTTTTATTGACATTATAATGTTCAATATGTTCTTGCTATAAGCATTATAATATAGTACTATTAGTCATCATTTAAACCACCAATAAATACTGTGCCTATCTACTAAATAAATTTACATAATTGATATCTAACAAATTATAATCTGTAAATGGGATGTAACCAGGCAACAGTAGTAAGTGATGACTATGTATAAATGCAGTAAAAATGGTAATATTGAACTCCTAATTAAATAATTTTAATTGGAATATTAATCTTTATTTCAAATTCTAAAGAGTTGATGGATAGGGGAAAATATTTCCTATATGGTTTTGTGGAAGGATCCTTTCGTATTCTAGGATACAGCTAAAAAGGTGATAAAAAAATGTTACAAATAAACATAAACATTAAATAGAAGATTTAATGGAGGAGAACAAACCCATAATTTTCATCAGCATTTGCTATATATAATCCATCGGCGTCCGGTGTAAAGGAGACACCCGCAATTTCTCCAAACAAGTCTATCACCTGAGAGCGTTCAAAAGTATGGGCGTCAAATATGTGCACGAAGTCAGCCGGTTCTGTTGCGTAGAAAATTTTCTGAGTCACAGGTGCAACTTAAATCTTCAAATAAATAAAATTACATGAAATGGATGCAAACCTGCCATTGCTAAATAACGACCATCTTCAGAAAAGTGAAGTGATCTCACAGCACCCATTTTTGCACCCAGAACATTAAGTGTTTTTGACATATTCCGCGTATCGTATAACCTGATAGTAGTAGTTACAAAATTAATAACCCGTGGAAACTTTTATTCTAAGATACATAAGATACAGCCGCACGTACCTGGTTGTTTTATCTAAAATAAAATAAAATATACATTTCGTATCATTTAATATGTAACAACTACGATAGTGTAAAGTGACAATACCTTGATTTCCTGTTGCAATTATATTTCCATCTGGGCTCCAACAACACGCAAAAGAAAAGTCAATGTGGCCTTTGAGGGTGGCAATAGCTTAAAGGTAGGTATTAAGTGTTAATATTCCTGAAGAAAAATTAAAATAGAAAGTCCCTAAATGAGGTTGAATAAAAAAACAA